GCAACAAGCATTTATACCGGGATTCTTAACGACTATAACACTATACTCACCTATTTGTCTTTCTATACAAATAGACATGAGATTGGAATCCGCGCATTTTAGGATATACCTAATATAAGCGTCTCCAAAAGGCGCCTAATTGACGTCAGATGGTAATACTAAAAGTACAGCCGCGAACCTTCAAGACTATTCACACATTCTGGGGACACTTATTCTAAAGGACATATAGGTTATCCTAATATTGCCACCTCTTCTCTAAATAACTGTTGGCATCGGACAGTGAAGACTACTACTATGGCTTTTGTTTCTCAAAACCTCGATCAGGATTCATTAATTATAAAAGGTTATAACGATTATATCTATAGTCTAAAAATAGTACATTTATTATTGTATATACGTACATTAAAAATATTAATAAAATAAGACAAGTGACTGTGTCTGTGGTATTATTTGATCATTTTATTTTCATTATATATTTTCATAATGCATTTTATACAGTCTTAACTTGGAAGCGGGAGACTTCCTATTAAAAGGTATTTCAATAAAATCATTCGTTTACAGTATGTAAAAAGAATATATGATTAAATATCATAAGTAATATTATATTTGATTCTTATAATTATTAAGAATTATTATTGTTAATTTAAATAATTAATATATTTTTATCAAAAAATTGATGGCAGCTTATAATTTGGCCTAGTAATAATTATTTAATATAAACAAAAAATAATTATATTCATAACAATATATTTATTTTGAAATTTTATTCATTATTTATATTATGGTTGGTTTTTATTATATGAAGTATTTTAAATTTTTTTCTTAATTTGTATTATAATAATTTTATAATAATTTGGGATTTTCATAATTATAAAAATTTTAATAATATCTATATTAGATATTTTTTTAAAATCACAAAAAATATAATATTTAATAATCCATTTAATTTAACAATTTGAAATATAATTTATGATAATTTATAATTATTTACAAAGCCATATTGAACTTAAATTAATTAGAATCAAAATATTTGCTTAAATTTAAAAAAAAACTTTTCTGATTGTTAATGTTTTTATGTCACTTTTAAAAACAAATTTTATATAAAAAAATTAATTCAATTGATTATCAAGATATATATATTATTTTAATAAATAAAATAAATGGTTATTTTAATTTGTTTTTTTTTATAATTATATTATCAAAACTTAATTATTAATTGGTTTTCCATTACTTGTTATCATTTAATAACATGATGTTTAATCATTTACTGTTTTTCAACAATTTAGAATTTTTATGAATTTATATTTTTTTTTAATTTATATTTTTTTAAAAAAAACTAGCATCTTTACAAATTTATTTTTAAACTTTAAATATCGATAAAGATGATAAGTTTATAATGCTTAGTATTTGAAATTGAATGCTTAAAATGATAAACTCAATATATAATTTGAAATTTTTTACTTTAGAATATACTTTATATAATCTTGTACATGCACTATTTAAATAAAACTTAGTTATACTGTAATTTTTCAAGCTTTAATCTTTTTATAAACACAACAAATGCATCATCACATATTTTTAAAATTTCTGTTTTATTTATAATAACAGTTAAGTAAATAAAAGGTTATAAGTTCATAGTGTTTTTAATGTTTTTAAAAATATGTATTTATTATCTCTCTACATTAATTGTTTAGGAGATGCGATCAGTCAAAAACACGGAATGTATATATGCCATCTATGCCTTGTCCTTGATCATATCATAATCATCTCACTACCGTTATTCAGTTTTAGTGAAAGAAACCGAGCAATAAAAAAAAAAAATTTATATTTAATAAATTTCGATAATATAGTTTTGATTCATAAAAATAAGTATCTATCTATTGTCGTTGTTTATAACATAATCTCGAGAATTTTTAAGACATAAATAAGTCATTCTTTAATGACTATGATTGTTCGATATATATTAAATAAAAAGAGAAAGAAAGATACTAAAATGTCCCGTCAATTTTTGAACGCATTGCACGTATTACTTCATAATAAATATTACAATACATCAACAAATTTTGCGATTTCCCTTGCAAATTTGATAGTCTCGTGAATTGAAGATATATCATTAAAGTCCGTTTTGGTTACTTTTTTGTTATCTTGTTTCCAACTGAGTTTTTTCAGCGAAATGTGCTTAGTGGTGTATGGATCATATCCTTTAACTTCTTGTGTTTCTATAGCTCTAATGATTTTAAACTTTTCGTTGCTTTTATATGGAAAATATCGATGATTAAAATACAGTAATAATTAAAAAGCATAGTAACATTGAACATTTAAGCATATATATACCTATAACAACTTTTGATCTTTTGCCTTACGCTAATACAATCGAGCTTCCCTTCGAAATCAGATAATTTAAATAACATCCCATTCGCATCAGGAATTGGATTCTTTGTTTGTAGGTCATTAATGATTTTCTTTAATTTTGGAGTGACAAACACATCGCATTTTGTCTTTACTATAAACCGCAAATCAGGAGCGTTTGTTCCGGATATAATACTAATTATTGCTATGGAGAATCGAATAGATAAGTTAGAAGTATTCAATATTAATATTTAATTTAAGAAAAAAAATAGCTAACCATGGCGTTTCATATTTCTCACAACTTTCTCTATTTTCCATAGTTCTTATTATTTTACGCGAAGATAAGTATTTTGAACCGATAATATTGTAAGATCATTTACAAATAATCTTTAAAATTACCTTCTTTTTCATCCCAAACCAACTTTATCTTCTTTTTTTGTTGATCACTATCCACATAAATAATAGTTATGCTTCTATTATCTTCGTTAGAAGGATCCGGCTTTAACTTAAACTTTTCACTAATTATCCCAATATTTTCGTAAACCGGAGGATAATTATGAGTGAATAAAGTGCCAATATCTTCTGAATGTCTTTTAATTTCACAGAAATCGTCTAAACTTAAAGTCTCTTGCGGATTAACTCTAAGAAATGCTTGACGACCAAAAAATAAGTAAAGCCTAATTTGGAATCTAGGCTCACGGGGATTTATGCTACGATTGTAAAGATCCACAAAAATTCTTTTCAGGCATTCATCTAACTTATCGAGGGTGCCAAATGAACCAGATCCGAGCGCAGATTGAGTGCGAAATGTTTTATGGTGTGTGTCCATTTTCTCATGATTTTTATCCATTATTCTATCTGCAAGCTTATCTTCGCCTCTACCATTATCAGATTCGCTGATTCTTTCCATAATATATTTTTGAGTGCGTAAGTGTTTGTTTATAATGTTATTGTTTTCATCAAAAAATTCGACGAATCGATATCTAATGTCTTTGGAGCTAAGTCTACTTGTATCATCTGTTGCTAGTAGAAATGATCCAAACGTAGGTCTAGACATAAACTTTAAAATCGTTTCCTCAATAAGAATCTTCGCCTTCTCACGTTGTGAGAATGTACCGTAGATAATAGCTTCTGTGTTTCCATTGATGTAAATTTTCGCTCCTGATAATTCCCTATAGCAATATACAGTATATACCTTAATTAACTTTTTATCAACTTTAAAGATAATTTAGAAAAATATAATTACTCAATTCTCTTGGCGTTAAATCCTTTTTCTCCAATAATGTAAGGATAAGATGACAGTATTGCGTTATGTACTGTAATTATGAAAAAGGAGGTGGGCTAAATGACGTAAGTCGGCACCAATAGTAACGCCTGATTTTACAGGTGTTACCCTAGCCAATCACATAGGTTTGAGATCACCTAAATATTCAAATTCAAAATAAAATATTTATTATCTAGGATAGTTAAATTTAATTATTTCAAAAATCAAATTGGTAGAATTATCAATATACTGTATAATAAATATTTGAAAATTATTATTATTATTATTATTAAATAAAGAATGCTAATAGTTAGAGATCACAATAAATCAAATTGGTTTGTTTCATTTTTTAGATATATAATTCATATTTGAATCAGATATGGTATAGCTTGATTTAATTTGATTTGAATCTGATTTGGATCTAATTTATTTAATTCAATTTGTATTTTATTTGTATTTAATTTGATTTAATCTGATTTGATTTATTTATTTATTTATTTTGGGGGTTTCCCCTCATAGGTAAGCATCATTTCTTTATTTGATATTGTATATAACATGATATACATCGTGAAAGAAACAACATCTCTTACGTACATATGTAG